GACATGTAGTCATGTAGTGTATTATTTCTGTCCCGGCAGAGTTCTGGCATGGAGTGAGCCCATCATCATGTATGACGATAGTGGTAGTTTGCTGTACATTTAATGCCTTGTGAGAATACATACTCATTGAATACTCAATTAAACACTGGCTGTAATGTGACAGGCCCCGTCTCAGTCTCTTGTTTTAATACGACGTATATCTGCCTGTGATTACAGGGTGTATACATGCAGGCTTATCTCTAGTCACAGGCAACAAATAATCTCAAGAAGTTATCTCAAGACACCTTTTTTATTGAGCAGGTCTAGACCGTACTCGATATTGCAGAGTACTATCGTACTAGAAGGCCACTCAAAACGTGCCCCAAATGTAATTGGTTCTTCCTTAGTTTCATGCTACACTCTTCTTAAGTTTCATGAAGATCGGGCCAGTAGTTTTCCCGTAATCCTGCTGACAAACAGACACGCAAACCAAACCCAAGCCACCTTGGTGGAGGTACAGTAACTAACACTGATTTTAAAACTTTGGAAATTCATCACAGTGGTAATCACTTAACCCTCCGTTAACCAACCAGGTTACCGGTGGATTTATACGTTTCAAATTTACAAAGTAATCTACCAGGAATGTCTGCTTGTATGTATGTGATTGGCAAACACATTGCCAGATGACACTGCATTGCAAAAGTTGGGTCGGGTTAAATCAAGCAACCATGGGATTTGATGACACTTTTCCAAACCGTGGAATTATAACCTCCGGGTCCGTCACGTGATGCCATTTCAAACGACCCAGAAATGCTTTTTTTTCCCATTGACTTACATTGGAAAATAGACGCCTGCAACTCACCGGATATTTTTTAAGATAATTCAACTTTCCACTACGAACACTTGAATAGCCCTTAATTAAATCATTAAGTCCCAAAGCCAGAGTTATTCTTTGTGCTTCCGTTGATGTGAATGAGCCTGACACCAAGCAGTTAAAGGAAACGCTACTGTGATTTTATCACTCTGCATTCGATCCATTTTGGTGTTAAGACATTTCCTACATCATCGCACTGCCCGGACCAGCCTGCAGACACAAAAGCAAGATGGCTCCGTCTGCTCCTGATGCTTTAAAGTAAAAATGCTGGTCCTCTCAGCATGACGCAAAAGGTATCTCAATCTGTTCTACCAGGCAAATGTTATCTCCTCTGAAGTGCTGCGTTTTGATGCTCCTGTGCTCACTGGAGACACTTTCTCCAACATGTGTGAAAAAAAAAGATTTAATTTTATTAAGGGTACACAGGGTCTCTTGGTATTTTCTCATCCACAAGTTGTTCTTATCTGCAGGATCACCAGACATATACTTTGATTTTCTTTCCCCTTCATTCTCGATGAGTCATCACCGTGTGCCGATACACATGCCACATTCAAAGTCCCTTGAGGTCGCACATTTTGCCCTTTCCGACGCACGGCTGAGCGCTAACTGATGCTGGAACCATCGGTTGTCTGAACAAATGAAATGTCAAGTCAGCGTATATCTAACCTACATTTCAAACCAAAGTCTAGACGTGCACAAAAAATGATGTGTTTCTTGGTAGAATATGGATTGATAAGCCAAGAGCTGAAATACTGAAAATCACTTAAGTGACCCCCCCACCACCCTTAACGCAGCGCTGACATTATGTCCACAACTGTGGACAAAGAGGCCGGCTTTAATGTGTTGCAGGTTTTCCACAAAAGCTCCGTGGAAGGTAAAGCAGCACCTGGACTGTTAGCTGAGGACATGAACGCCTGAATGTGAACTCCGACAGTGAAATAGAGAGACGGTGCTCCTTTTATTTCACAACCAATGTGAAGCTGTCAGTCAATCCTCTCTCGGCTCCTCTTACACTGTCAAGTATCACTCAGTGGATTTTAGGCGTTATTTGGGACGTTATTAACTTTCTACATGAGTCCCGGAAGTCCCGAGAGACGGATTTGTATCTTGTTCACAAAAAAGATGTGTATCTTATGAGCTCAAAACGATAATTATCTTGCACAAACAAGATGTCAGGTAATATCTGGTGTGCACACATTTGAACAAATGATGATCTTGCATACACAAGATGATATCTTATAATATCATATAATATCTTGTTCACACAGTGGTTGTGCTGCACAAACAAGATGTCAGATAATTTATTTTGTGTATAACTTCACACAAGCGATCATCTTGTCACACTTGTGGAAACAAGTTATCATCTTATACTAACAAGATATTAAATACATCGAGAGCACACAAGTTCATACAAAAGATTTTTCTCCCGGAAACAAGATATTAGATACTAAGTTGTGTGCAATCAAAAGGTATATCATTTTACGTGTGACTCACCCATCAATTTTCTATTTTAATCAGTGATTCCTACATTTCCCAGAATGCCCTTTGACAGTCCAATGAGGAGAATGAACATGGTGCAAGAACTTTTTGGGCAAACTGGTAGGTGAATAGTGTGTGTGTGTGTGTGTGTGTGTGTGTGTGTGTGTGAGTGATTGATTGCAGGCTTATCGTGTGTTGAAAACAAAGTACACCACTGTACAAACTTACACTTGTTGACGGTCCTATTCACTGTGTCCGCCTTGTTCTGAGCAGGAGACAGAGCGTTGCTGTGGTTTTTCGCCTCTCTGACTTGCAAAACCAGCAAAGTGGAGCAACAGTGGCAGAGTTAATTATGGTTGACGCGTCAGGAGGGGGAGGGGGAGTCCTCGTCTTCCTCCCTCCCTCCTTCCTTCACACACTGCGGGAGGAAACGTCTGACAGAGAAGGACAAGTCACTGATGCATGTTTAATAGTGTCACAATTGCATCGAGAGGTACGAAATCAATAGGAGTGAAAAGGCCAAAGTTGATCTGTGAATAAAAATGCACCTGGTCTGCATGACGATGTACGTGTATTATGCAGGTTTAATGTGTTGGAGTTTGCAGTTATAGACATGCTGTCATCACTGCTGCCCAAATGACAAATGGGTTATGATGTCAAACCACGTAGTTTGACCTAAACAGCACGTGGCTGACAACTCTTTTTTTTTCACTCTCTAATGTTTTTTTTACATTTAGTTTTGCATAAACTTTCATGTCACATAATTATACAGTAATGACAATACACACTGTACTCGGGATCTTACAAATGAGGCCATTACATTCTGACCAGACACAGAAAAGAGAGTCTCCTTTTTTTTTTATTATGTGGGATTTTCAGATTTTATTCTTTCAACTGTTTCCATTATATTTGTTGTAAGTTCAATTTTTCCAACATAAAGGTCTAAATGCTGTTTCAAAGATAAGATAAAGACGATGGCCCCATGGCCCTCAAGGGGCCCTTATGATGCGGTGTTTGTCATAATGTGATAAACTGCTAATTCGAGTTGACACTGTATGCCACACAAATAACACATGGAAATTACAGGTATATAAATATGTGCTTAAGCAATCTACAATTAAATAATTACTAACAACAGAATGCACAGATTGGAAGAATTTCTGGGTCAATCCGGGTCCAAAGCTCATTTCTGCCCTTTAGGGGATCAATCCAGCACGGGACAACAGTGAATTTAGTTTTTCATGTTGTTGTCTTTTTGAGTAGTAAATATAAATTGAAACGCATGAAAAGTTCATCAGAAACGTCTCTCTGGGGAAGCTGAACTCAAACCCAAGAGAGGACATGCTATGAAAAGTGCCACTCTATAACTGTGTACGACTCTCATGGCGACCACTTTGTCTAATGTTTATTTAATGCACAACCCATTTCACATGTCAGGCCACTTTATCAGGCCGTATAACGGCCTTTTAAAACTGTCACTCAACTCTGGGTCGCCCTGTTTTAGTGTTGCGTAGTAACTCCTGCTAATGGCTAAGAGTAGCAAGATTTTATTACTTCCCAGCAATGAGTTGGCTTATAAATTGCACAAAGATAATGACAAGATTATGCAGTGTTTTTAGTGTTGCCTCATCACAGGCTGAACAACGTACAGAAATGATTCACCATCCCAATGGATTTTACAAAGGCCTTCGTATTTACTTTGAGCAAAATGGAGAATATTTTAATTAATATATAAATAAATTCAGCATTCTCAAGAAAAGTCCTGGTAATTTATTTGGTTTTCAAATAATGGGTTTGAACAAAGTTCCTGCCATGTTTCCGTTAAATAGCCTATAATTTAGCCCTTTTGTTTAATTACCTGTGACACATGCAGCCTGTCTCTCTTTGTCATCACTCTGTGTAAAGAATATAAAATTATGAATCTAGATTACAATGTCAGGACGTCTGTCTCCTGCTGGACCAACACTTCCGGCGAGAAGAGGCACGCGTCCAGCGATAGCATCAAGTTCACGTCAATCCCGGAATGTAGGTGATTGAAACCCTGCAGAATAAAAGCCCCAAACCTCAAATGACTTTGACAACAATATATTTATTTAGCAACATGGGTTATTGTATTGGACACGGTGATCATTTTAGACGGAATAAAAGTATACACTTTAGATTCATGATTTTATTTTTTTGAATATTTTTAATTCTACATTTTCAAATAATATTTTAACACACAGTATAGATAATGATAATACAAATATTTAATAAAAATATCGACCATATGAGTAAAGGATGAAAAATAATTGGATAATGATTACATTTAATTTAAAAGGTCAAGGCTGAACCTACAGCTTGATTGTGGAATGTCTAAAAAGTATTTAACACGTTTTGTTAGTGATTCTTATTAATATTGGTTATTATAAATGCTCAGTTTGTTTACGGTTACATGCTTTTCTTGTACTTACTTTTCTGCTTCATCAATAAAAATTATCTTATCTTTATACTATAGTATTGTCGCCTCCGTTTCTCTGTGCTTTTATTTTTAAAACAATGACCGGAAGTTTAACTTCTCTCCATTACAGGTGATTTGACACTGGTGCGTCCAGGCTGGCGGAGGCACACACACACACACACACACAGGCTGTGCACACACACAAAGAAAGGTACCAAATACTTATTATTTGTATTACAGCGCACAATATCGTGGCAGTTAATGGTAACGCGTGTCTTTTTCAGAGGACGTTGGTGGGACTACAAACGTGTCCGTGTTATACCGTCGAAGGAGAATTTAGGAGTCGTTCCATCCTGTGACTGGCTGCTCTGAGATCAGCTGCATGTCGACGGATATAGCTTTAAAGGGAGAAAGAGCCTTTAAGTGAGCGAGCGTGGTGTATTCTGTTTGGAACGGCGTAATTTGGGGGTTTAACGCGTCGGAAACGCGCCGACTTTCTCTCGGTGAAAGTTGCATTCGCCTGGACATTGTTGAAGGTGTGAAGTGTTTTTTTTTGGGGGGGGGGGGGTGCATGCCAACTGCGACATCGCGCCCCCGTTGATGCATTTCTGCTTTTCCATCCCGACCACTTCGAGGGCAGAGAGGTCTCGTGGTCGTGTATCGCTCTGTGCGGTTTGTCCAGACAGACGAAGGCCTTTAGCCGAACTATTTCACCAAATGATTTTCCTTTGTCGCAGCCCGAAAAGGCTACTATATATATATATATATATATATATATATATATATATATATATATAT